ATTTTTACAGCAGTTTTCATAATTCCTGGAACACCTGTAAAAAATTAACCTAGTGATTTTCGGCCGATCCGGTTAATTTATTATTTCGGCAATAAAAATTGGTACGTGCGTACGGACGTACCAATTTTTATTGCCGAAATAATAAATTAACCGGATCGACCGAAAATCATTCGGTTAATTTTTTACAGGTGTCCCAGGAATTATGAAAACTGCTGTAAGTTGACCCGATTTCCACCCGGGCAGCTTATTGTCCACCCGATGAGCAGATCAGTATGTTACAGACAAAATTAAAAACTATACTATATTGATCAGCTATAATTCCTAATTCCAATGGTAATATATATACCAGATATCGTACGTACGTACGTACGAATACTAATCTGCTTCTGATCTGCAAAACACCTTGCTAAAATCTTGCAAAAAACCATTATTAATCGATGCATGCCATTCTCAATTTCCACTGATTAAAAATTAACTTTAGTTCTTGATGCTGATAAAACTTGCATACAATAATAAACCTGATTAATCGCATATAAAATAAATACATATTTGCAATGATATGATACAAATAGTTCTTTTACTATCATATACTTTTTTTTCTTCGTAGTACTTATGGATTTACAAGTTATAATTTTTTATCACCAATGAGAAATAAGTAGAGTTGAAGAACAGAGATATCTGTGATAAGAATCTAATTATATCAAAAAAGTCTGGACCTTTGCTGCAGATAAACTGCTACATATTAAGTTCGTAATATTAAAGACTCTTAGTTCATAATTTTATTTAATTTTTTTTTAATCTTCAAAGGTGATAGTTCATAATATTTAAACCATTTTTAATCCAAAAATATTCAACTATAATAGAATAGGAATTTCTTTTAAGAAAATGGTTACAAATTATAATTAAGCTACTATTGAAAAATTTTCTATACTCGAGATGACATGAATGTATTCTATTTGTTAAAACAATTATATTTAAAATATTTTGTGTACGTATATAAAATTTGATTAAATATACACATATGAAGCGTATGTTTAATCAAATTGTTACGTACAATTACTTTTTATATATGATTTTTAGGGTCTTTTTTCGATAAACAGTTACACGAACTTTTGCCATTAAGTGACGTGAAGAATAACAAACGAAACATTCATTAAAAATGGTTTTGTTAGCCTCTGAGATAAATAAGCAATAAATACTAAAAAAAACAGCTATTCTAAGCCATAAAGAAAGCACTATCACTAGTTGTTGAAGCGTTCGAGTATTTTTGGGTAGTGAACGATGGTTTGATCGGTTGTATAATGAATTCGGAAGCGATTTTTGAGAAAAACGGCCCTAATAATACTGTCGGCCCTCCCAAAACCGATCCTGTCAAAACCGATAACCTGCCATAAACGATTAAAATTTGGTCCACCATGTCAGTTCCGATAATCTGTCATTTCTGATATCGATATCATTTATTTAAGTTTCCGATATGCTTATAGTCGCAAACCAATCAGAATTAATCACGGCAAAATACACAACCAATTTTGCAATCCTACTAATATTTTAAAATCGTAGGGGTCACATGGTGTAACGTTTAGATTACTCGTATAAATAAATTTTTTGAATTGCGTTACATGAATATCACGTTGTATTTGATCTATATAAAGCTATTCGTGTAACACTTCCCATGAGGATCTACGTAAATCATGTGTTACGCATATATTAGTGTAACATCTGCCACGTGGATCTACTTAAGTTGATATTCATATAATATCTAATACGCGTTATATTTAATATCTCACTTAGTACTTTCGATTTTTCGAATCTTTGATTCTCTTTCAAATAGATTTAGTTTGCATATTAAATTTAATTTATAAATTTAGGTTTTGTTTGGCTTCTATATAAAATTTTTTTTTAAATCGCTTAGAATTTTGTTAAATAAAAAAAAAAATGACTGAAACATCAGAAGAACGCCGTAAAAGACTTAACCGCGAACGTCAGCAACGATATCATAAGAAATTACAACAAACAAGTAGTACAAATAGTACAGAGAGAGCTCGTAATACACCTACAAGAGAAGAAGAATTCAGAGCAACAAGAGAAGCAGCAAGACAAAGAAACGAAGTTGAAGTTTCACATCAACAAATATCACGAAAAGGGAAGGAAAGAAAGACTCCTGTAGATTATGATAGATGTAATCAGGCAAATGAACAGGTAAGTATGCGTTATGATGTTGTTAATGTTCTAACCTCTTCTTCAAGTTCCTGTAACAGCAATTTTGAAGAAGTTACTTCTCGAAATGAATCACCTGCTCTCAATCCTCCTGTTCTTGCTTTTCCTCATTCATTAAAAGCACGCTCATATCCATGGTTATCAAATGGAATAAATCGTTATACTCTAGGAGGAATGGATCAAAAATGCCGACATTGTGGTGCTCTAATGTGGATTGATGAAAGGAAAGCATATACATCTTTACGATCCCTGGTTTTTACCACTTGTTGTGCTGAAGGAAAAGTTGTTTTACCTCCTCTTCAAGAACTACCACGACTTTTACATATGCTTCTTACTGGATCAGATTCATCAGCACGTTTATTTAAGCAAAAAATAAGAATGTATAATTCAGTGTTAGCTTTTACTTCGATGGGGGCTCAAATTGATGATAGTATAACAGGAACGGATGGCATTTACAGCTTTTGCATCCATGGTGAAATGTATCACAATATAGGCCCTATACATCCCGGTCAAGCTCGCCCTAAATTTGCACAATTCTACGTTTATGACACAGAACATGAATTGCAAAATCGAATGAATCGAATGCCTGGTCTTGATCCTTTAATTCTTGCTGACCTTTAACAAATGTTACATGAGTTAAACCCTTATTGTCAAATTTTTAAAAATGCAAGCAATATACTAACTTCTAATCCATCATTAAATTTGAGAATGATAATTACAGACAACAGAAGAAGTGACCCTAGACGATATAATATTCCGACGGCATCAGAAGTCACTATGATTATGGTTGGAGATGGACAAGAAATTGAAACTTCAAACCATGATATTGTATTACATTTGCATACCGGGGTTTACAAAGAATATCTGAGCTGCATCGTGCTTATCAACCATTACATTATATTCTTATGTTTCCTAGAGGTGATGATGTTGGCATCTGTATATCCCTATCAACAGTTCTACGTCTCTTCAAGGATCTATTAATAATGATGAATCGATCTCTAATCATGAAGAAGAAGTAACTACTATGAAACATGTCACGGCTATGAATTATTTCGCATACTGACTTCACCTTGGATGTCCAGGTGAAGCTGTAGTTCATCACTTATTTGGCCGTTTATTTCAACAATGGATAGTTGACATGTATGCAATTGTAGAACAAATGTGCCTTAACTATCTACGTTTTAATCAAAAAAATATACACGCAGAATTGTATAGCGGATTACAAGATGCAATGACCGCTTCAGATAATGTATCGCAAACTGCAAACATAGGGCAACGTATAATTTTGCCATCAACCTTTATAGGTGGGCCCTGTCATATGGTGCAACTTTATCAAGATGCAATGGCTATTGTGAGAAAGCTTGGCAAGCCTGATTTATTTATTACAATGACTTGCAATCCACAATGGCCCGAAATTACTAACGCCCTTCTTCCAAGTCAAACTGCATAAGATTGCCCTGATTTAATTTCGTGCGTGTTTAATATGAAATTAAAAGCGCTACTTAAAGATATTATCAAAGAATCTGTTTTCGGAAAAGTTCTAGCCTATCTTTATATGATCGAATTTCAGAAGTGTGGTCTACCTCATGCGCATATACTTATTATCCTTGTATATGAGCATAAACCCAAAACAATTGAGGACTATGATTCAATTGTTTCAGCTGAGATTCCTGACAAAGATAATGATCCTATTCTGTATGACACAATCAAACAATCGATGATACATGGCCCCTGTGGTACACTTATGCAAACTTCCCCATGTATGAAAAACGAAAAATGCTCTAAAGGATACCCAAAACAATTTCAAGAAACTACTATTATGAATAATGACAGCTATCCTGTCTACAAATGAAGAAATAATGGCGTAACTATAGAAGTACGTGGCTCAACTTTGGATAACAGGTGGGTCATTCCTTATAATCTTTATCTTTCCACTAAATACAATTGTCATATAAATGTGGAAATTTGTTCTTCCATTACTGCTGTGAAATATCTTTTTAAGTACATTTATAAAGGTCATGATCATGCTACTATAGAAATAAGAGGCCAAAACCAAGAATACGAATGAAGACCTAATAAAGATGAAATAAGTATTTACCTAAACGCTCGATATGTATCTGCATCTAAACTTCATGGTGCTTATTTCACTACTGGCTACATAATAGAAGTCCATCTGTTTTACCCCTTCAAATTCATCTTCCCGGACAACATAGAGTACTATTTAGAGATGACTCTACTTGAGAATATCTTGCTGAAACTGCTTCTAATGAAACATCAACCCTTACAGCATGGTTCAAAGCCAACTCTGATTATCCGGATGCTCGAAATCTTATATATGAAAACTTTTCATCTCAGTGGGTTTTTGATAAACGCGCAAAATTATGGAAACCAAGAAAACGTGGTAGTGTAATTGAGAGAATGTATTTCGTTCATCCAACAGCAGGTGAACGTTATTACCTGCGCCTTCTACTCAATATAATTCCTGGAACCATCTCTTTTAATAATATTCGCACTGTAAATGGAATTTTGTATCCAACTTTCAAACAACCTTGTGCCGCTTTAGGGTTACTTCAAAACGATAATGAATGGGATTGCTGTTTATCTGAAGCTTCTCAAATTAGATCTGGAGCACAACTACGAAATTTGTTCGCTACTCTTCTTTTGTTTTGTGATCTATTACACCCTGAACAACTTTGGGAGAAGTATATTTATTTTTTTAGTGAAGATATTCGTTTTCATACTAACAATAATAATGAACATCCACTTACTCAAGCTGAGATACACAATTTAGCTTTACTCCACTTACAATCAATTTTACGCAGGCACGGCAAATCACTCGCAAACTTTCCTAATATGCCAATACCAATTACACTCGACGATACTAACTCACTAATTCATGAAGAACAAAATTATGATATTGATGAGTTAATACATATACTTGAACATGGAATACCTCAATTAAACGAAGACCAACTTACTATTTTCAATAAAGTCATCAACGCTGTAGAAAGCAAAATCCTTCCGTATTCTTCGTTGACGGTCCCAGTGGAACAAGAAAAACATTCCTTTATAAGTAATAAATTTATTTTCTTTTTATTCCTATTTTTTTTTCCTTTATTTTAATATATATATTATATATATAGTATTTTACTTGCCAAGGTTCGCCTAAGTCGTTGTATTGCTCTCGCAGTAGCATCTTCTGGAATTGCTTCACTCCTTTTGCCAGGTGGCCGTACTGCACATTCTAGATTCAAGATCCCCATTAATTTAATAGAAAGTTCTACCTGCTCTATCTCTTATGATACCGAATTAGCTTTACTTTTACAAAAAACTTATTTAATCATATGGGATGAAGCATCTATGGCCAATAGATATGCACCTGAAGCACTTGATAGAACTTTGAAAGATCTTATGAAAGCTACCAATCCATCCTTAAACAAAATTCTGTTTGGAGGTAAGATTGTAGTATTTGGCAGTGATTTTCGCCAAATTCTTTCCGTCGTCCCAAAAGGTGGTAGAGAAGATATTGTAGGCTCATGTTTACAACGATCCTATTTATAGAACTATGTTGAAATTTTATCTTTAAATATAAATATGCGCCTTCGCCATTGTACTAATTCTATTGATACTATTGAACAAGAAAACTTTGCAAAATGGCTCATTGCACTTGGAGAAGGTCGAATACCTACCATTGGACCAGAACACAATAAAATTCAACTTTCAGAAGATCTTATTTTACCTTTTCAACAGTTAAATGATCTTATACAATTTGTCTATCCTGAATTTTCTTCGCATTCTGATTCTCAATATTTAGTTGAACGTGCAATACTTACACCTAAGAACGAATACGTTAATACTATTAATTCAACTATTATGGCTCAATTCCCTGGAAATTCTACTGACTATCTTAGTGCCAATACGATTGAAAATCATACTGAATATGAGCATCTGTATCCTATAGAATATATTAACTCCTTACATATTAACGGTCTTCCTCTTCATAAGTTAACTTTAAAACCAGGAGCTCCCATTATTTTATTACGCAATATTAGTCCTTTCGACGGTCTTTGTAATGGAACAAGATTAGTATGCCGTTCTTTCATAGACACGTTATTGAAGCTGAAATTCTTACTGGAAAACATTCCGGAAATCGCATTTTCCTTCCTTGCGTTGCCTTTTCTCCTTCAACAACTGATTTACCTTTCACCTTCACACGTCGCCAATTCCCCATTCAACCTGCTTTCGCCCTAACAATCAACAAATCTCAAGGCCAAACTTTAAATTACGTTGGCTTATACCTACCAACACCTGTCTTCTCTCATGGTCAATTATACGTTGGCTGTTCCAGAGTTACTTCTTGACATAATTTAAAACTTCTTATTACTAATTCTAATACTCAAAATACTAATCATGTTGCTATTACTTCTAACATTGTTTATCCCGAAATTTTTCAATAGATTTTTCGTCCCTACATTCTTTACCAACTATTACTACTTTAATTCAAATTATATTTCAATTATAAAATGTAAGTATTTTTATTTTACTCTTATTTTTAAAACTCTATTCTATTAATAACTTACATCAAACTTATCCCTACTTTTATTATTTGTTATCTGATTATTCTATTCTTACTATACATACACCATCTTTTATTAATTAAATATATTTTTAACTCAAATTTATATTCACTTTAATAAATCTTTATATAAATACTACGCCCAATTTCTACTAAATTATTCTATTCAATTTACCTACTCTGCATTTATACGATTACTTTTATAATTAGGTTTTAACTTATTATACTATATAATATATACTAACTATTTATGTTTGTTACTATCTATTTTGACTTCTTACTTATTTACTTACATGCACCGTTAGCTAACACATTTTAATTTATTATTTTAATATTACTGTAATAATGTAAAAATTTCTCAACTACTCTTTCAAATAATTATTATATTGCCCTAATAATATTATTTTCATTTTTTGCTTTATAACCAACTTTACTTTTTTATATTTACCATATATATTTAATTTATGTAACATATTTGATATAAAACTTATAATTACCTATTATCTTATTCTAATAAAAAGCCGATCATATTACTCAACAAGTTTAACGCAAAAAAATTGCTTTTTTTTAGAAAACAATTATAACTCAAAGCTTCATTTATGAAATCACCTTTCGATTATTAATAAACTGAATCCCTTCTATATTTTACTATCAAATATCCCCAAATACCCTTTACACTAACCTTAACTATCGCTTACCTTTTTTCTTTATACAAATTATTTTGTTTACACATTACACAAAATTTACCATTTAATACCTTTGTACAATACTCTACCAATAAAATAAACACTTTTTAACTATCTATTATGTAAATTATTTATTATTTATACATTTACAATCAGAAGCAAAGCAATGGGTTATATACTAGTTTTTTTAAAAACTTGGAACGAAGTTTTCTTAATAACTACCTGGCAAAATTCAATAAAACTTTTTTTATTTTAATTCTACACATTCATAAAATTAAGATAAAAAAACTTTTATCAAATTTTGTCTGATAGTTATCGAGAAAAGTTTAAAAGAATTTGTTCTGTCTATCAGTAATCTAAACGCTTTGGATTTTTAAACTTTGAGCAAAATTTTTTCACTTTCTGACTAAATTCGATAAGTTTATTTTATTTTAATTCTATAAATTCACAGAATTAAAATAAAAAAAAAACCATCGAATTTGGCAAGTAGCTCAAAGAAATAACTTGTTCCGTCTATCAGTAAATAAAGCTAAATTATTTTAAAACTTTGTGAAGTTTTCTCGATAATTACCAGACTAAATTCAACAATTTTTTTATTTTAATGTGTAGAATTAAAGTAAAAAACAATTCATCGAATTTGTTTAGGTAGTTATCGAAAAACTTTGCTTAAAGTTTAGAAAGAATTTGTCACTTCTATTAGTAAGCTAATTTTCTTTGAACTTTGAGAAGCATAATCGATAATTTTCTAATCTGATTACATGAACTTTTTTATTTTAATTCTACACATTGTTATACTTTTATCGAATTTGTTAGGTGGTTGTCAAGAAATCTTACTTAAGTTTAGAAGAAATTTGTCCTGTCTATTAGGCGAAAGTTAATTGTTTGTTTTGCATTACTTGCTGACCAAAATTTTTCAAAAACTTGAATTTTTTTTTAAACACAAATAATGATATTTATTTTAATCTTTTTAATGAATTTAATTCAAAAAAAAAAAATCAATAGTTATTTAATCAAAATATAAAGACATACAATAATTACTCCAGAAAAATAGTACAATATCGAAGCATTTTGGAATGTTACCCTTTATGAAATCTGATTTGAATCTAATATAGTTGCGTATGTAAAATTTGTAATTATTTAACGCATTATTATCTGATGATGAAATTTGAACTTATTTGTTTAGAGTTAAGTTAGAAGTTAAGGTTAGAGTTCATAATAAAAGGGTATAAGAATAAATGTGAATTTAATAGGGCTCATACAGTATTTTCAAATCAAGACACCAAATTTCAGCATCATCCATCTCAGTATTATCATCGTTTATTATCACATTAACACAGTTAAATAATATATAATAATGTCTAATACTACGGTGATTGCAAAGAAGATCTGGAAAAATAATATGCAACAATTTTTTCCGTATTTAAGAATGATTAACTTTGATTTAAACGAATGCTAAAAATTGCAAGATTGTCGAAATATTATCACACGGTGTAATGTAGATCATTTTGCTTGTTTGATCAACAACAATGGGCTCAAATGGTTATCTCTTCTAATTAGCAGTTTCAACTTAGCATTGAATCTAAAAAGTTTAAAAATTTACTGGACACTATGCACAAATAATTTTCTTAAATTACATACAATTAGTTTTACGATAAATATGTAAATTCCGGGTCTATTCTAGGAATGTTCTTTCTAGTTTCATACTGATAGAAATCTCTAACATAAAGATAAATGATTCTATTCTATTAGTATTTCCATTTTTGACCGATTTTTATCAATTGAATTTGTATTATTTCGGGAAGGAATGAATGTTTTGAAAGTTTATTATTAATATGCACTAATTTTTAAATTTTAAAATGGATAACAGATCAGTATAGTGATTGGAACCGTATAAAAAAATGTCACCCGGTTCAACCGTCGGTTGAGATCATGGTCACCCGGTTGTCAACCGGGTGGCCAACTAGCAGTTGACCCACGGTTGGGCCTCGTCTGATTGGTTAATTTTTATAAATCTACCTGTGATTTTCGTGATTATTAACCAATCAAACTACATATTTTAAATCGTTTAATTAGTGGAAAAATGTCACCCGGGTCAACCAACGGTTGAACTATAGATCAACTGGGTGGTTGACCCCACGATTGGGCTTCATATGATTGGTTAATTTTTATATCCCGATTGGAATCGTCCTGATTCAGAATCAGGCAGCCCCAGATGAGAATCTTGTAAATTGTTTGAGCAGAATTAAGATTTTAAAGTTAATGTTAAAGTTAGAATTAATTTTCGCTAGTATAATTCAGGCCAAAAATTACAAAATTCTCATCCTGGACTGTTCCGATTCAGAATCGAAACAGATTCCAATTCGAAGTACAACATATATATCTACTCGTGAATTTCCATGATTATTAACTAGTCAAATTGTAAAATTTATCATTTAATACTACTATATAGAACAAAAAAAAAGGTAATAAAAGATTTACAAACCAACAAATATGCAAATAATTTTCATTAGAAAACAGATAGATTCATATAGAGTAAAACAAAGGCAACGTTTATTACTAATAAACCCAAAATAGTTAAAGAATTTACAAAATATGATAGAATTTACAATGCATGATATAAATCAAAAATAATGATCCCAAACATACTAAAAGAGCGAATCAAACAAATATTAAATCCGGATCTTTCACTATTAAAGAATTGGTACCTATTCCGATTAAACAAAGTAATAAAATAAAATTCTTAAATGAAAATATTTCAAATTACCCTTATGATTTTGCAGGCACAATAAGTGGTGATATATTTTATTATATTGTGTTTTTTTTGTATAGCGAATATTAACAGTGTTCTAAAACTACAAATAGCTTTTGCGATGATTTTTAGTAGTTCTGTAGTGAGACATTCTGTTTTAAAAAGTACAATAAAATTACCTCAAGTTTTTTTTTTACCTATTCCGCTACCAAGCTAACACCTCTTAAATTTTAAATTAGTTCTTAAGATGGTATTCTAGCAATCAAACAAGATGATGTATATGTTGTGCCTCAGATAAACGCTTGCCTCAGATGTCGAATTTTTGGCCAGCATTAACTGATTGATATTGATTGGCCTAAATTATACCCCAATCATTCCCGAACTCTTTCCCTAACTTAGGCCGATCGATATCTGAGGCAAGCGTTAGTCTGAGGCACGACAGGTATAAAAACTTTTTCGATGTTTATTAGTAAAACATTACATTCTCGAAAGTTACTATAAAGTGTATAAATAAGTTACTTGAGCGGATGATTAATTTGCATCAGCAAATCAAAAAACTTCTGCCTATAATTGTAGATTAACAAATCTAAAAAAGAATGGAATAAAATAAAATAAAATACTAAAAATAAAAATTTATGCATAACTATAAAAAAAAATATTTAATATAATACACCTTAATCTTCATTGCGCCTTCTCAATCTTTTCTTGATATGTAAGACTAGTTTGTAGTTAAAGCGATATTAAAATTGGTATAAGATTTAAACAAAGTAATTAAATATGCACGATAAATTTTTACTTCGATCATACTTCCCATATCAGCCCAGTTGGTTTTAAGTTTATTTGAAAAAAAAGCTTTTTGCCGTAGTCCAAATTATTTCCATTTCTTGATACTTCTCTAATATGTGCCCTTTGATA